GAATGATGAATAAACAGTGAGGGGTATGAATACACTAGATATACACAGCAGCCTGTGAGCAGTATGAACAGTGTGTATGAATACACTAGATATACACAGCAGCCTGTGAGCAGTATGAACAGTGTGTATGAATATGCTAAGATATATAAAGTATGAAAACGGTAAGCAGTGCAAGTATAGTATAACATATATAGATATTAATTTCATGATGATAAACATTGTGGAACAATGATGAAAAATGTGAATGGAAGTGGCGACGTAAAACTGACACAAAACAACAACAAATTTTGCCGAGCCAATTGGAGAGTTTCATCAGCAGCACGGGGTAAAAACCACCAATGAGCGCTCAGCTCGAGATACCAGCGAGTCGTTTCCCATCAAGCATTTCGCCTCCGCAGCCCGTGGAGAGGAACTGCGGCGCCTCGCCGTGCCTCGCTCTCAAGGCTGCGGGCGTCTTTGTCCCGCGAGATTTCAACGTCTCATGTGAGCGAGCCTCCAGAGCAAGTCGGACAAAATGACTAACCATCATGCAACGCACGAGCAAGATGTTGATCGAAATTGCGCAGGTCTGCGCAGGTCTCTAATGTCTCAAACAAGCCTTATATCTTTGGGTTTTGGTCAAAGGCTTAAAATAGATCACCTTAGGCATGAGAAGAGTGTAATGGTTATTTTCTGATATTTTAAAGACCAAACTATTAGTCGATTAAACCAGAACATAATCAGCTAGTAATTACTTTTTAAAAACATCAGGTCTATTCATACAGCATGTTTAATGACTTTACATGTTTAACTATGTGGACCTAAACTTGATAGGCTCCCATAAGTTTCATTTTTTTTTTTTTTTTGGGACATGGTTTATGTATCAGTCACAACATTGTTACTGCTCAAGGATTGTGTGAAAGATATATCAAGATGGTACTATAATACAGATTTAAAAAAAAAAAAATGGTATTCTAGAACATGTTTAGCTTTGAAGAAATACAACATGACTCTAGTTTTTCATTACCTCACATTGTTTCAAATGCTAAGCAAAAGAAAATGTTAAGAAAATGTTGTCTTATTTTGGTTTTGAAAGTATAGTAGGAAACAATCTGTAAGAAAATTAGTATTCATCTCAAAGCAGATATAGTGTGTCCACAACTACCACTATAAGAAATTATATTTTTGCGAAATAAACATGTTAAAGACATTGTTGTGAAACATTTTATTTTTGTAAATATAACTATAAAGTAATTTAAATTAACAGTTTTTTTATACATAGAAATGTTAAAGTATAAAAAACAAAAACACATTTGAAGTTGAACTCCTCATTTTCTGGACTGAGACTTGGGCCGCCTGACTTCTGCAATGAACAGAACAAATAAACTGTAAATCTGAGCAGACTATTTTCTTGTTCTAGTTATTCATAAATAACTTCATTTTGTAGATAGTGTTGTCCTTTTTCATGTATTCATGTTATATAAACAATTCAGATAAGTAAAGCAGTATGTAAGTATAATGAGCCACATCATTCTATGTTTTTACCAAAAATCTTAATGAAGCATAATGACATTTTTGAAAGGCAAAACATCCTGGGAAAAAAAAAAAAAATTCAAGGTTTTTTAGAAAAAATGTATGTAGGTATTTGAAAGTGTATCTATATATGTATTTAGGACTAATATCCGTGTGAACAACATCAACAAATAAACAATAAATACCCGGGATTTCATGCGGCCAAAAGTCATCACATGCTGGACACCTTGGCTCTGCTCTCCCTTTGTAGTATCGGGCAACACATGGGTTGTGTATTTTTATACCACATGCAGGGTTCTCACAAATTTGGCACTGAAAAAATAAATTCCGATCAGATTAATACTGTGAGTGAACTCATTTTGTAAAGATCAGGTTTGACACATTTTAGCTGAAGTAAAGCCACAATGAAGACTGTTTACAAAATAAATCAATTTCAGTGCAAGAAAAAAACCAAACGCCAAAACAAAACTAAAGAACAAGAACTAAAATACTGGTAGGGATTATATTCTTTGTCAAAATAAGGAATGTGTGATTATTTTGCAAAAGAAACCTGCCTACAAATAATAATATATATTTCTCCCAGTAAGGCATAGATTTTACAATACATTAATAATAATTAAATGATTACAGAGTACATAGAGTAGCAATGAAAATATGATTCTTAAGGAAGGATCGGATTCATTTAGCTATTGATCACAGTGTAGTGTGCATGCACTAAAGAGAAACGAAGGAAACATTTACCTGGAAAGCGATGTTGCGACAGATGTGGCACACTTTGACCTGATCCTGATACATTGTGCGAATGTATGGCTCCATCTCGATAATGCATCTGGTGGACAAAGTGTACTCACCCCGTTTCTACAGCAATGGAAATAAATCAAAGAGACTGGTCACATTATATATGGTAAGTAAGAGTGGATGTTATTTCTATTTTATTTGGAAAAATAAATCTATATTTCTAATCTAGGATGGCAACTTGTGTTAACCTTTTTTCATTGCTTTTCCACAAATTGATAAGCGAAATGTGGTTATGGGAACCTGAACAAGTCTGTCAAAGATACATTCATGATAACCCAGCATAAGATAGTATTGTTTATTTCTGTTATCATGCCTCATATTCTTGTAATGCATCCATCTTCAATTATATATATATATATATATATATATATATACACATACACACACAATACCCCCACAAAATCTTTCTCATCTTCAGTAACTAGATTTTCCAACATTAAATCAGTACAACCAGTTAATAATAATAGATATCACCAACATCAATTTTGGTGAAAATGGCAAATTAAAAGATAGCCAGACTAAATCAAATTACTTTTGATAAAAGTCTCTGCCTCCAAAAACTTTTTTTTTTTACATCCTGTGGAGACTGCTTTACCTCATTGAGCCATTTGTCATGCACGAGACGGTTCAAGAGGTGCTCTGTCTCGCTCTTCTTCAGCTTTTTGGTGGTCATGGTGTCAGCGCTGTTCAGAATATCAGTGGATGAGGCATTGCCCTTCTCAGAACAAACGATCAAGTCCATCTGAATCACAACAGCTCAGGTTAGACATGACATTCTTTGCACACTGGAGAAGCAAACCTTTTTTCCTTATTGCAGTGAAGGTATACCTTCTGGAGATTAAAACTATATTTTAACTGTTCATATCATACTACAAACTAAGTATTGTATTAGAACTGTGTTGAAAAAGGTGTTGGACAAAAGCGTATATACAATTATGCAGGATTTCCCTTTAACTCACCGTTTTCCTGAACAGCTCTAGCTCATTGTCAGCATAATCTGACGACATACGTGTGACATCAGTCTCCGCCATGTTCACCTGGACAGGATTAAAGTAAAACAGTGATCAACAATGCCTCCTTGTGGTTCAACATACTTCTAATAAAAGACATCTCTCTTTTGACATTAGATGTTGATAAATCTATGTATCACTTTGCCACTATTTTCTTATATTACATCATATTGATAGTCGATACAGAAAGATATACAAATATAATGTGGCTTTCAAATCGATTCCACAACCGATTTAGATGTATATTTATTAATTGAAAAATGTGTCATATACTGTAGCAACAATCTAGAAGAAGATAAACCAACATTCTTGTGAAAATAAAATAGTTACTAATAAGGAAAACAGGCCTGACAATGAAAGCCAAGGACAGGAATTGAACCGACTCACCAATGCGTAGAATTGATGGCCGCTGTCTTCAGACATCCCTTTTGTAATCTGCATGAACATGGGCTGCAGCTTCAAGTTGATGGTTTCAATGAAATCATCCAGTTTGTCAGGATTGTGCTGGGCTGAAAACAAGACAAATACTGTAAGTTCTACAAAAAGATGTTTGTCAAAATTGTTTACTGTGGGTATACAATTCTGCACTGACTGGGATCAATTTGTCACGAGATGGAAGCTGTTCAAAACAATCCTAGAGATTTCAATGAAAAGCTGCTGATGTTTACATAAAATATTCATCATAAAATGAAGGTAAACTAAATTCCAATACAAAAAAGGATGTGACTATGGAGCTAAATCTGGGCCAAAAGTTTTGATCATTTGATAAAAATGAATTTGGAAGTCAAAGTTTTGATCCTGATCTTTCAAAGATACAAGGACATTCAAAATAAAAAAATGTTTTACATACAGATTTAAGTAATTTGTTTTTTCAGATGCATATGTGATGTTTACAGATTCAGAGCAAATTTTTCTCGTCTAAAATATTTTTCTTTCTCGTTCAGAACGTTTTTCAGTTTCAAAATCTTATTTTTGCCGCTTCCAGATCTTTTTGTGTTCTACTTGTTCAGGGTTGTAATGTGTGTCTTAAGGAATGGATTGGAAATCAACAGGTCATGTGACATGGAAGCTATTGAAAAACACTTTAAAACATTTTTTATAAAGATATTTAAGCAATCAAAAAAGATCACCACATTTATAAAATATATATATTTTATTTTTTTATCCTGATTCTCACCAATACGAGAATTGTATTATGGTCCTTAAGACAAACTCCTGTATCCTGAAAGAAAGTTAAACTCTTGTAACCGATTGTAGATGATCGGTAACTCTTTATGCATGTACAAATTAAATTGACTCACCGTTGGAGGCTTCACAACAATGTGCGATGAGCTTCCTCGCCCCCTGTTCATCAACAATGCCATTGGCCATCATGGTCTGCAGGAACCGTCGATGGCTGTCTCCCATCTGTCGTGACATGACTCTAGACTGATCTGGAGACACAGAACACAGATGTTTATACTGTCTCCAACCTACAATATATTTGAAAATAGTTATTAAAGTACTTTCAAACCAAACAATCACATGGTTATCCAAATCACACTGATACAACAAACACCCCCTCAATAAATCCCTATCTTTGGTGACAGCTGTCAAAATATTTGGCTAAAAGCATAACAAAGTGTAACTATGGTTTAATGCATTGGTGTGAAGTAACTAAGGAGATTTTCTCAAGTACTCTACTTAAGTCAAATGTTGCAGTACTTGTACTTTACTTGAGTAGTTCCATGTTATGCTACTTTGTAATTCTACTCCACTACAATTCAAAAGGAAAATGGAATACTTGTCTTTTACTCTACTTCATCTATGTGGTGTCTTAAGTGAAGATGTTGATTAAAGATGTGAAAGATAATCAAAACTTACAGTTACACCTGGACGAACAATCACAATCTACCCTGCAGTATACAAAGTAACTGCAACTTTGATAACCCTTTAATGCATCAATAATTATAATCAAAACATATTATTTCTGAAATGGGCCATTCTGCAGAATGGGTACTTTTACTTTTGTACTTTTAGTTGAGTAACATTCTGAATACAGGATTTGTACTTGTAACAAAGTATTCCTAAACTCTGATACTTCTACTTTTACTTAAGTACAAGATCTGAGTGCTTTTTTCACCTCTGTTTTAATGTCTCCCGTTCCATCTTATGAGAATGAATGAGGCTGTCGTCTAACAGTTTTATAGGAAGCGTTAGTAGCTACAGTAGCTAGCTAATGTTAATTCAAACTGTTCCAACGTTAGCTGTTTGCTTACCGGTAACAGGGCAGAGACTTCGTCGTTTTTCCGGTTTGTCTAAACAACGGCTCAAATGTTAAATATTTAGAAGATACGAGCCTCTGAAGTTAAGAAAGTAGTGACTGCACTCCTGTAATGCGCGCCTCCTCTCCTGTTTTGTGTTGACCTTTCTTCTTCTACTCTTCCTTCAACTTCCAGTACGGACGGCTGGTGTATTAGCGCCACCTATAGCTCCGGAAAATGAACAAAGGAAATGCTGCTTCCCCTTTAAAGCTCTGACTCTGCCACAGATGCAAGATATAAGTAATCATGAGGGCAGAGCTGTACTTGTATGTGTTTAACTAATTGCAGTAATGCTGTGTCCTGTCATACACACACCACTATGTCACTTCGGAAAGGTTGTGTTAGCTTCCAGTTGTTAGAGTATTGTTAGAGTAAGGTCGTTGAGTTAATCCATAAGGATATTATTGGATTCTAATACAAATTATTGCATCATATAGGAATGCCATTTTTTTTTAAGTGACTATTTGTGATTTAGTGATGTTGAGAAATCAGGTCATTGTGATATGGTAGCTTCATACATTTAAACTGGAAAATGTTCATTAACACTTGTAAATCAGCAAGAAAAAGAAACACGATTTATTCTAAATGCTTTATTACTCTAACAAATTAAATAAGAACATATAATACAAGGTGTCGAAGTCTTTGATTACAATAAAGCCTATTATTAACATTATTTAAATACAGTATCCAATGTCATTGCATTTTACTGCAGCATTTAACCTAATATTCCTCAGCATTTTCCAAAATCTGAGGCTTTTCCCAAAAAATGTCAGGTTCAAAAGATCGCCAAAATTGTTGGGTTATCATCATGGTGCCCGTCATGATCAGTATGTTTACATGAACACAAATAACTCGATTCATTGTAAGAGCAGAAGGTATACGTGTAATCAAACCGTTTATATGGTTTACTGTTCTCTGAATTTCAGCCTCAGCTTAAAACGGTTATGATGTTAATAATATGTAAATCAGAGTATTGCCTTGGAAAGTTTAATCAAAGTATTAATGTTTGTGCAAGCACACTGATATCATGGCTGTGTTCATTACTTGAGGGGACCCCACAACCTGATAAAGAATCAAACAGTCTAAAATGCATACGCATTTTAAACTTGTAAGCTCTTCTGACAACACTGCCCAGTCCTTGCTTCTTTATTTGTTGTACGATCTTGAATTGTTTTGTCAAGTTACAAAATGAGGAATGCCAGTAACTGATGATGTTAAAGTGACAATGCTACTTTTGAGTTTCATTTAAATGTCGAAAACCACCAATCCAATGTAAACAGTAGATCACAGGTTGTTCTTCTCTCTGTCCAGTAGGACCTTTCTGTGATATCAAAGCAAGGACTTGACAATGATCTCAGAGAGGAAGTACAGACACCAACATTAGAATTTTAACAATCATTTTATAGTGACTTTTACTTGCTGACTGCAAGAAAAAGAAAAAATGCCAGATTGGAATTCCCGTGTTCACATGCAACCACTCTAATCAGTTGCAGGTGATAGAAAATCAGAAAAATAAACTCTTCGTCATAACGGTCAAGTCAAAACTTGACGAACAGCATGTGCAATAGAAATTATCCACAGTGTGATCAATCCTTAGTAATGTGGTTGGAAAAGCGAGGCAAGTGTCACTCCCAGTTTTGTCTTCTGGTGGTGACTCAATAGCATCTCCATCTTGTTTTCACACAATCCAACTTCAACAGTATTTTAAGCCCAAGTCTGGGCACAGTCAATTTCTCGTTTTTTAGCCCACTCCTGCCATCACCGTATTCCTATTTCTCAATTGCCCATTGTTGACTTAGTGTGCTTTTCCCCCTAAAATGTCTTTATCCCTCAAGTTGGCAGCAGTTAGCTGAGAAATCTTCAACCTGATGAGAAAAAAGAAAAGATGTTACGAAATAATGAAAACAAATTGTTTCTCATAAAAATGGAGGGAAGCAAGAGGGCTGTCTGTTCTGAAACTGTCAATTGAAAATCCCCAGTTCCACTTCACAAAGACACAAATTACGGTTGGGGTGTTACAGCCTTGGTACAGTGTTTTGTTCAGTGATAACACTTGTAATTGGTGAACATGTGTTTGTGTTGCACCTTGTGTTCTAGTGGCTGGTAGGAAACTGTCCATGTGTGTTAAGCGAATGTTGCAGCTTTTCCTCTTTGGCCCTTCTGCTGTGGCAGAGCTGTGGAATAATACAAAAGCAGTCAATACAACTTTATATATTGCACTTCTGATCACATTCAGACCCAAATACACAATAAATCAGGACCATTTTCACACACGTAGTGCACTTCTCACCGTTCTCTTATCCATAAAGCTGGTGAGGAATTCGTCTATGTCCGTACGTCCCTCCAGGAAGTTTTCAGCCGTCTCCTCTGACTCCTCCTCAGCTTGGTGGGCTGCAATTTTTAGCCGAGCCTGTAGAGTACTTAGACTGCAACTCTAAAGGGGTATAAAGGAGGAAAAGACAAAAGTAAGAAACTGAAAGACGGGACTTTTCAGGGCAGTCTTTCATCAATGTTTGGGTTGGTTTCTTTAAAATCTTTAATATTCCCTCCTTCAGTTTCTTGATAATGTAAAACCAATGTGGTCGGACAGCATGATTACATCAAGAGCATCCTCAGAACAAGTGCTTATGTCTGGTAGAAGACGGATGTTGGCATGTGGTTTCAGTTCAAACTAAACAGCAGTACTGCTACAATTCCAGGAACAACCCCAATGTTCAGTTTTGAGACATCAATATAGTACAAATACAAATTGAGCAGATTTAACACAAAAAGGTGCATCTGCACTCAAAAGCTTTCATAAATCAAACCACAGTATGATCTTACCTCACTGAGTTCATGCTGTATCTGCATCCTTGATTCAAAGGCAGACTTCATCTGAGTCAGCATTTCGTACTGTGAACAGATACAAAACATACATAAGATAGAAGAAAATATCATGAAAGTGGTATTTGTTTGTGTCTGTTTAACATAGGGAACAGAGTAGAGTGGATGTAATATCTGACCTTGTAGAGCATTTCTTGTCTTCTTCCGTCCAGCTGTGGCTCCATCTGAAGATTTTTCTCTGTAAATGAGAGAAACGCAGAAGTCTTTGTAAATGCTCAACTAAATGTAAACAGTTTGTCATGATTGACCATTAAGACCTCCTGTCCAGGTCCAGAAGAGGAACTTACTAGCCATGTCCACAATATTGGTGACCAGCTCTTCTTTATCACTGGTCACCTGTTTCAGTTGTGGCAAAGTCACAAAGAACTCCAGTAACATGTCCTCGTTTTCAGACATGTCCGACAACTGTGTCCCACTAGGGTGGGATACAGCAAAGGCGGTAAAGATGGGTAAATGTAGAGCAGGAAGTGAGAGGACAAGAAAAAATACATTAAGTACTGTATGGGTGCAACAAAAACAAAAATGATGACTTGCTTACACAATGACTCAATTCATATTATAAACTATGTTTTGATTTGAAAATATTTGGGAATACTTTACTTCAAGTCACAGAGTTCAGGAAAAGACTCAGGAATCTCAGGCATCCTGTACATGTGTCCGTTCAGTCCAGCCTGAAACAGACAGCAGTGGTATCAGCAAATCTCATTGTCCAATGCATTTATGTCAATGTCGATCCCAGCTTTGTCTGTACCAGACCTATCAGTTACCGGGAAAGATAACCAAACTGAAAACTCTGCTTGGAACATTATGGGTTTTAAGAGTGTCAATGTTTAAGACAGTGTTGTTTTACCACTCACTTTAAGTATTTGTTTCAATGTATTTAAGGTCAAAGGTTTATTGTCATTTGCAAAAAAAGATACAGTGTAGCTGTATCTATTAAACACATTCTGTATGTTATCAACACACTAATGTTCACTATCCATTATCAGCATACCTCTGAGTCTCCAGTAGGAACAGGCAATTGCAGGTCAGATATCAGTCCGTATGGGGCTGGAGCTCGAGGCTGCCCATGGGCACTATCGACTCCTGGATGAGGCATAAGAGCTGGGGCTGGGCCGGGAGGCGGAGTGTGGCTGGGGCCAACGTGGCGGGGCCCATATTGGTAAGCCTGAGTGGGGTAAGGCGCCATGCTTGACTGCTTGTACATACTGCTTGGCAAAACCGGGAGAAAAATATCAGTTTTATTTTATTCATCAGCATCAAGAAACTTGGGATATTAGGAAACCATTGGACAGAACGTTTTAATTGTGATTATTATGGAGAAAGCACACATGCCTCAGACATGTTTTAGGAAATCAACTTTCAATTAATATCTCTGGAAGTGAAAAAAACATACGATATCGTGCCAAATTTCCCTTAAGGACCAAATCGTTTTTAGAGCTGCTTTCTTCTGCACTGCCCAAATTAAAACATAACTACAATTTGTCTGTAATAATACTCAGAGCAGCAGAACACATTTGTTGTATTGCAGTAATGAGAAAAGACTTGACAAGTGTGCATGAATGTAAGAGGAAACTCACTATGGAAAGCCAGCAGTGCCGCTGGACATCAAGGCAGGAGGACTCTTCCAGAACTCGTCCAGCAGACTCTGAATGACCTTACCCAGATCTGAGTGCATCCCAAACTAAACACACAAAGACATTTGGAGTATTAAAAAACACAGACAAGAAGAAGAACAATTATGAAAAACCCAAAAAAGTGGATATTCTTTATTGAGAGTATGAGGCACGGAGAGAAGAAATTAAAACAAGTTGATGTTATTGGGATAAACCAGAAGAGGGCTTGAAAACCCATGTTTACATGTATCTGCTAATCAGAGTTCTCATTCATAACACTCCGTTCGATGTCTCACTATGGGATGCGCCTCAACGCGTATGCAAACAGAAGCATCAATCTCATTAAGCCAATCCTGATTGGCTGGTGATCTTGTCGTCTACGTCAGGGAATCCGCTCACCCTTTAAGTAGCTTGCGCCACGTCGCAGCGTCATTCAAACACCTCTTCTCGCTTCGGAGCACATCTCAAAATATCAGTAGCCGGGCTAGCTTAACTGTCCACAGACTGAACCACAAGCTAACTTTCGGTCGACGGGCGCTTGCCGGCTACTCTTGCTTTGCAAGAAGATTGAATTGAATATTAACGCACCAGTTAATATTGAAATCTGCCACGCCGTTTTTTCTTTCGGAATAAAGATAAGGTTTTGATTTTTCTTCTAACGGCAACGTACCTGTTACTAGTTTATCCCTCCACGCCGACACCCAGGCGAGCGAGGACGGATTCTTCTCTCCCTCACACCAGAGGAGACGGAGATAAAAGATATTAACACACCAGTTAATATTAAAAAAATCTGCCCGCCGTTTTTTCCTTTCGGAATAACGATAAGGTTTTGATTTTTTCTTTCAAACGGTAACATACCTGTTACTAGTTTGTCCCTCCACGCCGACACCCCGGCTAACGAGGATGGACCCTTCTCTCCCTCACACCGGAGGAGACGGAGGCTCGGAGACTCGGCTCTGCGGCTGCAGGTTTAAGATTTCGAGCACGGACTCACACCAGGTCTGCTCGTCCTGCCTTGGGCTGGAACACGCCCAGGAGGCTATCGATGCCCCCGGTTCGTGCGCACATTGTGCCCGCTTCACCACCAAGAGCCTCCGCCGACGGCTAGCGCACCAAGCTAGCCTGTCGGGACAGGACCTCTTCATGTCTGTTGATTCGCCGGCCGGCAATCGAGACATGGTGACGACCGCAGCGGAGGTTGAGCCCAACGCTGTGTCGGAGCCCCGTGCCGTGTCAGGCTGGGGCCCGGTTGCGGCGAGAGCCGTGAGAGCCGCGAGAGCCGCGAGAGCCGCGAGAGCGGAGCCCCGCGCTGTGTCAAGCTGGGGTTCCCGACTGGACCTCACCCGCGGGGGATGTCCTAGAGCTGGATTATATGGAGGAGGATGAAGAGGATGCCTCTGAGTTCCTCTTATCCGATTCAGATTAGCACGAAGATAACATCTTCGTTTCATCTGCCCAGGCTGCCAAGCCGGAGGCGATGTCCGCTCCCCTGGGCGAAAGCACACCAGCTGCTCTGCCTCAGTATGGACTTGCAGGCCATGTGCCAACGCACTGCGTCCAGCCTGGACATCCCCTGGCCTGAAGTGGCCAAGGAGACCTCCAGATCTCGCTATGAGGGGAAGAACTTGCCCCAAGCAGCGAGGATGAAGAAGCAGCTTCTCCCAGTCTTTCCAGAGATGCTGGATGAGGTGTCGGTCTCGTGGAGAGACCGCCCTTTCAGCAACAAGGCCCCAATCCAGGGTGCCTCCTCTTTGGACTGTGACGGCATGGAGAAGCTCGGCCTGCTCCGCATGCCGCCCATGGAGCCGCTGGTGGCAGCCCACCTCCAACCGCGGCTGGCTTCGGCACCGAGCAGGAACCCCACGCTACCGGCAAAGGCAGACCGTTTCCAGTCAGCAATGACCGAACGAGCCTATAAAGCCGCAGCTTTGTCCGCCAGGGCGCTCAACGTCTCCTCGCTGCTGACCGCCTACCAGGCGGAGCTCTGTGAGGACATGACGAACAAACCTGAGCCTGCCGTGTGGGACGAAATCGCAGCGATCACGGACATTTGCCTCCGTGTGCAGCGCTGTGCAGTCCAAGCCACGGGAAATGCACTGGGGATAATGGTGGTACAGGAGAGAGCCAGGTGGCTTAACCTGACGAACCTTCCAGACCGGGAAAAAGAGGACGTCTTGGACATGCCTATTGTTCCCGAGGGCATATTTGGCTCCGCTCTAGCTTCGATGCAGCAGCGGTGTGAATCCAAAAAGAAGGAGGATGAGGCTCTCCAGCTTTGTCTTCCCCGAAGGGTCCAGCCGCCGCCTTCAACGGCCCCGCGGCAGTCCTTCGCTCAGGCTGCCTCACGTCCTGCCCGTTTCAAGATCCCAAAACAGCAGAGGCCACAGCCCGCCCCGGGTCTCCAGCCCAGACACGAGGCGAGGACGAGCTGGCCAAGAAAGTCTCCGGTTCCAGCAGCCGCTCAGGCACAGCCGGTCCAGACTTTCAGCCACCTGACGAGGAAGAAGAAAAGGGTGGCCTGACAGCCTCCTCTCCTCTCCTCGATAAAAGAGCTGGAAGTTCCCTGTTCTCCAGCTCCAGAACACGTTCCAGTGTTAGATGCTCATGTGTTTCCAGGGTGCAACCATGCCCCCATCTTCCCGCCGCCTCGAGTGATGTCAGAACGTCATCCTCAAGTTCGCGCCATGAGGGAAATGGACTTAACATCAAAGACAGCAAGCTCCGCTGCTCGTTTAAGTCACACAAACACATGTCATCACTATTGTTTCTTAATAAATCATTTTCCACTGTCGTTTCCAGGCTTAAAGCCAAGGGTGCAGTCAATAAAAATGAAAAGAAAAACAATAAAAACAATAAACAGTCTGACGTCCACCCCCCTTCTAAGAGTGGCTGCTGCCTCTCTCAGAAGGCGGACGATGGACGGGGCTGTGAAGGCATCACCGCCACGCGCATGCGCAGTGTCGACCGGGGTTGTCAACCTGGGGTACCACCGTGTTCAGACACTAGAGGGCCCCATAACACAACAAATAAAGACACAGAGGGCAGACGACAGGGATGTGACATCTCCACTCGCTTTGAGAAGCGAAAAGTGGGGGATGCTCACAGATTCTGCTTGGGTTTTCAAGACAATAGCACGGGGTTACAGACTCCAATTCGCTGTCACCTCCCCTCACTTTTCGGGCATTCTGCATTCGCAAGCCCGGGGAGAGTCGGCCCATATTCTGGAGCAAGAGATTCTCTCGCTACTAGAAAAGAAGGCTATATCTATAATACCCTCCGAACAGAGTCAGAGCGGCTTTTATTCCAAGTATTTCCTCGTTCCCAAACGGGGAGGGAACGGAATTCTGCCTATACTAGATTTGAGGGCTCTGAACAAATACCTCAACAGATACATATTCAGAATGCTCACTCACACATCTCTGTTGTGTCTCGTGCGCCAAAATGATTGGTTCACATCAGTCGACCTGAAAGACGCGTATTTCCACATCCCAGTATATTATCCACACAGGAAATATCTGAGGTTCGCCTTTCAGGGTGTCTGTTACGAGTACAGAGTACTTCCCTTCGGTCTGTCTCTCAGCCCACGAGTGTTTGTACGGTGTACGGAAGCCGCGATAGCCCCGTTAAGACAACAGGGTATTCGCTTGGCAACTTATCTGGACGATTGGCTCCTTCTCGCACAGTCGGAGCAAGAGGCTATTACGCAGACGAATGTCCTCGTAAAACACCTGCTCGACCTGGGTTTCGTAATAAACACAGAAAAGAGCATGTTGTCCCCAGCCCAGACTGTACTCTTCCTGGGTCTACACCTGAACTCGGTGCCCTTTACAGCCCGCCTGTCAGCAGAGAGAGTGAAAGCCTTCAGGGCTTGCCTCGCTCATTTCCAGCCACGCAAATATGTTCTCTTCAGATCATGTCTGCGGTTACTGGGGCTCATGGCGTCAGCCATCCTGGTGGTACGACTGGGACGCTTACACATGAGGGAGTTTCAGCGCTGGGTAGCTGCCCTCAGACTGGACCCGTGCGTCATGGCGCGCGGAGAGTGATGGTCACTATGAAATGCGTAATGGCACTGCGCCACTGGCTGCACCCGACTTTTCTAGTACGGGGCGTGCCTATGGGTGCTGTCCTATCGCGGAAGGTCCTCACCACAGACGCATGTCTGACGGGCTGGGGGGGTATATACGAAGGTCGACCTGTGAGGGGTCTCTGGAGCAGAGACCTCCAACGGTCACACATAAATTATCTGGAGCTTTTAGCGGTGTTCCTCACCCTGAAACGCTTTCTGCCTTTTCCCAGAGGACATCATGTCCTCGTGAGGACAGTCAACACGACCACAATATCGTATATAAACCGCCAAGGGGGTTTGCGTTCTCTCCAGTTACACATGCTGGCACGCAAACTGATCTTATGGAGCTGCGGACGTCTCCTCTCTCTGAGAGCGACGCACGTACCAGGAGTGATGAACCTCGGGGCAGATCTGCTGTCCAGAGGTGCACCACTATGCAGACTGGACTCTACATCCAATAATTGTGAGTCAGCTGTGGGTGCGTTACGGCCGGGCCGCGGTGGATCTGT